AGGTCAATTATATTTTTTAAACAGAAACCCCTATTTTGGACAACGGCAATCGAAAGAGCCGGAAATTCTACATTTAAAAATTTACTTAGGTTGTAGGTTATAGGGTCATAGGATCATTGGGTTATGGGGATCCAAGCCTCCAATTTTGAGAACAGTCAATGAGAGAGCGGGAAATTTTACGTATAATATTGTACCTAGGTTTTGGGTCAACGAAGATTTTCAAGATTAACTGAAGGTTTTTAGGTTTCATCCAAGTATGAGCTAGGTACACGTGACCTTCAAGGTCATTAGTTTTACATATAGCTTTACCTAAAAACAATGACGTGGACATAGTAAAATCTGTTTCCTTTGGCGTCCTTAATTTACGTAATTCCCCTTGCCTCTCATGTTCGTAGTACTTCATTTAGGAGAGTCCCCTTGCTTTTTACATTCCGAGTACTAGATTTACCTAGGCCCCTTCTCTTTCGTATTTGATGACTAGCATTAATCAGTATAGCATTTTATTTCGAATGCTCGAATTATTGTTCATTTACCTCTTAACAATAGGCAAAACGATGATGATAAAAATCGGTAACAGTATTTTAAATTTGAGTGGAAATGAAGGCTGATTCATCTGCGATTCTTTGCCGTATTTTATATAAATCTCGGGATTCCGTTTTAAATACCTTATCCTTCAGGTAAACCTAATAAAAGTATTCTAGAGACGTCAAGTCAGATGATCTGGCCGGTTATGCAATTGTGCCCCTTCGGTCATTTCTACCGATCAAAGAATACCTCATCTAAGTAAGCGCGAACGTCTCTTCAAAATTATCTCCAGCTATCTCTCTAATTGCAGAAATTATTTGGTTACGAAGCAAAGCTTCATACTTTTGAGCATTCAAGTTACCATCAATGAAAAATGGTCCGATCATTTTGTTGTTCAGGATTCCTGCCCAAACATTCAATTTCTGCGGATACTGTGATTTATCTTCACGCATCCAGTAAGAATTTTCACCTGACCAATATCTGGAATTGTCTCTATTCTATGTTCCATCAAGTTGGAAAGTTGCTTTATCTGGAAAGGCTATTTTGGATGGAAAGATAGGATTATCATCTATGCGTACCATTATATCTTCACAAAATTCAACACGATGATCGAAGTCGTCTTCTCTCAATTTGTGAAAAAGTTTTACTTTTTAAAGGTGGAATTTCGCTTTTTGAGTATGTTACATATTGAAGATTTACTAATCATGCTCTTGAGAGACATTGCGGATGGAATTATGTGCATCTTCAGTAAATGATTATAAAACATCTAGTGACTTCTCCATAACCCAATAACATAAGTACAATTTTAAACGTAAAATACCTACGCTTTTATACCTACGCTATCCTTAATAAATAATAAAAATTTCCCGCTCTCTCGATTACTGTTACCAAAACTAGAGGCTTGAATCCCCATGACTCAATGACCTATTAACCCAATGACCCAATAACGTGAGTACAATTTTAAACGTATAATTTCTTGCTCTCTTGATTATCATTCTCAAAACTAAAGACTTGGAACCCCATGATCTAATGACCATATGATCCGATAACCTAATAAACCTACTAAAGAGAATATATGATCCAATAACTCAATGATCCAATAACGTGAGTACAATTTTAAATGTAAAATTTCTCGCTCTTTCGATTGCCGTTCCCAAAACTAGAAGTTGGATCCCATGAGCCAATGACCCTATGACCCTATACATTGTAAATTACGAAAAAAACAGTAGATAAATGAAATAAATTTGTATTAATTATGATTTTCTCTTATAACTGTGCATGAACTAAGTTATGTACACTATTTAGATTGGAGGCTGTGCTAACGTAAATTCCAAGCTATTTATAGAATTCCAAAATAAACGTGCTATAGATATGCATAAAAAATACGATAATACCAAGATTGATACTTATTTAAGAAAAATAATTGTCATGACAAGGTATTTTCTAAGTGAAAAATGAAGACTATAAATAATTTTTCATCTTTGATATTTCAAAATACTAATATTTATATCAAAAAAATATTAGATTTAATAACAATATCAATATTTTCATATACTTAAACTTTTTGTCACTTTTACTTGAAAAAGTAAAAAAAATTTATTTTTAAAGTATTTTTTGTTGTTAAAATAAAAAATACTCTACCGCTTTTATATTATTTGGAAAGTTTAATGACAATTAACAAAAAAAAATAAAGAAAAAAAGAGAGGTGAGCTTTTTATAGAAAAATGAGTTTGAATTTTTATCAAAAAAATGATTTTTTTTTGCCATCGTGCAACATTTTCCTTTTTTTAGTTTTGTTTCAAAGGGTATCGTAATTACTACAAAATAAGTATAGATAAGTTTTGCTAGACCAAAAATAGAAAAATATTCAGTCATTTTGAGCAACTCTATTATCGATTTTTTGAAAATTGACATTTCAGACAAAAATTTTATACAAACTAAATACCATAACTAATAGTACTACACAATATGCTGAACTGTTTTACAATTAAAGTTGTATCATTGTTATTTCTGCTTACACTTGCAGTAGAAAAAGAAGACCAATTCATAAATTATTGTATAATTATTTTAGTTTCTATATATAAATTATCATTTTATGAATTACTAATAAATGAAATAAATTACGTTTTTCTTTCTAAAAGTGTTATTAATTTTTATAACTTGTTGTATCAACTTATATCTTTAGAGTTAAATTTGTCACATAGCTTTAACGTACTGTATTATGTGTAAAAGAAATTGTAGATAAAATATTGTTATTTCCAATAATTTTGGATTTTTTTCGTAATAGTACAATATGATTTATTTCAAATTAAGAAATCTACTAATCATAATAGCCAAAGAATTTAAAAAAAAGTAACTAAAATTATTAACAAATAATCTATTACAATAAATAGAAATAAAACACAGTAAATCACATCCACTAAAATAACCTAAAAAAATAAAGAAAAAAGATTATTCAAAAAAAGATATCGTTTGTATAGGTATTTATTTGTGTTTACTTCTGTAGTATGTCTGCTTAGCTCTGCTTGAACAAGTGTTTGTTCTGATATTTCTAACTCACTCTAATCGTTTTGTTTTGATATTACCTGTGTATACATTACATTTGGTCTAATTTTTTTGACTTTGGCATTTAAATTTGAATTTGAATTTTGATGAACTTGAATACTGTTTTGATTTAACGTTTTTTCTTTTAGTTTAGAAAATAGTTTTTGCTGTAATTGCTTATGAACTGAGCATTCTCATGGAAACACCGGATAATGATAACGTGTATTATAAAGAAAAATTATTTGGGTTTGCTCGATCCGATATAAATGTTTAAAATCACGACAGTTCCATTATTTTCTTTTTAATAATTTGCACAAGATTTTTAATATTTCGAGAAACTGTAAAATCTTTCTTTACCTTAATTCTTCCACGCTATAAGTTGCGGGCGCTAGTTGTCCTTCGCAAACTCGTGGGTAAATTGCCAAGTTTAAATGTAAATTTTTATTAGAGAAGTATTCATCTGTGTCCGTATCATCTCCCGATAAAATCGAATTATCGAATATTCTCCGGGTATCGAAATTGGCAATGGCGACACTCATTTAGTTATATTGGTACGTGACAGTCGAACCGCCGTCGGTTAATTAGGTAACGGTACCACTCGCTCCACTCGCTGAACTCAGAGCTGCTTGTTCAATGCGATATACATTATTCGCACTATTCGAAATAGCTTTTTACACCTGAAATAACCCTTGATCATTAGTTGGACGATTTCGATTCACTCGAACTCACTCCGTGCGGTAGATGCGGAATATGTTAATGTTTTTCACTCCTACTCAAGTATACTGGACTCGTCCTCGCGGTCTTCATAGTCCACTAAAGGAAAACTAATGGCATCAGAAACAATCAAAACCGGAGATTCACTGCGAATTTGGAGCCTTCCCTGGAAGGTTGCGAAAGTTCACGATCATGACTTCCACCTTGCTTATTGCAGATTAGGATTGTTAATGTACACGTTCTTATGAAGCATGAGAAGGTCGGAAACTTGACGCAAGTCAGCTCGACTAATATCTCTCCGCTACTGCACAATTTCTAATTGTTCTGCTCTACTTTGATGTTGGTTGTACGTGACTTCTCTTACAAGATATTTTTCGAAAGAGTCGGAATTCGACCTGATACAATATAGCGGGGAACTTAAAGTGGATTTATTAACTACGGCCTTTCGCGTGAAATAATGAATCACAACACACCGTTATAAAACAATAATTTCAATGAGTCGTCTATTATATGAAAGAAAAAATATAATAAATGCTATCTACGTTTAAAACAATAATTGATTTTGGATTATTCACAGCTTTTTATATAGGTAGGAGCTAGCAAACTTTTTGAATCTCTTTTCGTGTCTGTATTGTAATAGTCCCAAATGAGTTTTAATAAAATTTTGTCTGAATACTCCATTGAGTTCATTCTTATATATTCACGTGTAAATGACCATTTCCATCTACAAGCTGCTATATTCCTCGTTAATTTTCAATTGAGGAAATTGTTGATGGCCACAAAGGTCACCGGTATGTCTCTGGTCTCCTCTGTCACCTCGTATGCTCGATCAATGTATCCCTCTAGACCTTTGAAAGTCCAATTTCCATTAAGCTATCCATACGCGCGTAACCTTTAGTTTAGATTTAGTTCATACTGTCGGATGGTTCGAACTTGTACCCCTCCTCGCGCCTGTTCGATTTCCTGATGAGCTTCCTCACTTACTTTTGCGTCACTCTTTCTCCGCTCTCTATGATTTACTCGTTCTCACCACGCAACAGCGATTATCGAGAGTAATCGTTACAATACATGTACATTTATGTATGAAGGAAAATAAAAATTTTAATAATATAAAAATAGGAAAAATCCTAATCTTCTTGTTATTGTAGACTTGTATTTTACATAGTTATAATGATTTTAAAAAAAGTTTAGATGGAATAGAAATGAAAACTCCATACCTTATTTATTTCTTCCTTTGTTGATCCGACAGCATCGTTAGATGAGTTTGTAAATTCAGCATTAACCGTTTTCAACATTATATCAGTATTAGTAGAACTGTAACCACTAATATCTTGCAACTCCATTGGTAATATGTTAGGGACAGTATTTTTCTCAAGAGCCTTATAAACTAAATGCATCGCCTGCATAGAGAAAATAATTTACTCAATACCATTCCTATTGCTATACATATAAATGATTTTGTTAAAATTTTTTAAGAATAAAGGTACATTGTAATAATGTCTTTGAAATTTTATTCAATTTAGTTGTTTATAATATAATTTGAGAAATAATTCTTGATTAATAAATTTTAAATATTAATTTTCTCTCATATCAGAGTGTAAACTTAATTTTCTGCATCGAAAATCAAAAAATTCTGCAACGGTAGTCGATTCGAACAATCGATACGTTCGCGATTCGGCAATACTCGAAGCGCTAGAGCAAACGGTTACGAAAGAGAGGGGGCGAGCGCAAGTTTCAGTTTTTAGTATAGCCTCATCTATTCACCGAAATACCGCTAAATTTCCTCGTGTATTTTCTTTGCCGTTTACCGAGTGAAAGATTTGGTTCATTATTTGGTACATGAATGGGTGTGAGTTTGAGGCGCGAGGAAAAGCAATAACTGAGATAGCAGCAGAGAAGAGTGGACGAGCTGCAACCGATACGGTAGCCAGGACAGAGCTGCAGCAGCATCACCTAGGAGTTACAATTGTAGACGATAATTAATCAATTACGGATGATCACCGCAAGGTAGGTGCACCACCTTATTTCAGCGCGACGAAATAATTCCGAGCGTATTTTTGTAGGTGACCGTTGCCCCTTTCGTATTCGCACCGAGCGTTTTAGTTCGCGGAAGAATTTTGTATTCTCTCTCTCTCTCTCTCCCAGGATAAGTTTTGATCTTATACTCGTGCGTAAGATTTTCGGCCCACAAAAGACTGTAACTAATAATCCTATAAAAGGTTTATTTTCTATTCGCAGCATTACGTTCTTTCGTTTCCCTTTAATTTAACAGATTCATTTCCTAAAATCTTTTAAACCGATTTTGTCTACGGAGTAGTCAGAAATAAACATTAGTCTTCGTACATCTAGGATAATACTTGTGTCAAAAGTCAGGTGACTAAAGGTGAATTGAACTGTATTGGAAAGAAGACATTAGAGCGAAACTATCAATCGCAAAGCTAAATACACGTATGATCATACGTGATTAACGGAGCGGCGGTTAGCTCTGCTAACATCGTGGGAGATTGTTCTTATACAAATCTGATTTGCAACAGTTATGGTAATTCACCCCATTACAATGCATATATTACTTAAAAAGGAATCAATAAAAACTAGAAATAGTTATGATTCAATGTACGTATGTTTACTAAAAAATACAACTTCTAATATTGACAGAGAACTAAGTAGATATATTTATCGTATTTATTATATTCCGCGATAAGGGGTTAGATTTCACTTGAGGGAAGTGTGGACGTGACTTGGATGTGAGCGCGAGTTTTGGTGAGAAAGTCAAAGAGGAAAAGTGTTTGAGGAGAGAAATAGAGGTGAAAAGAGCGTGGAGGTGGAGGAGGAGTGGAGAGGAGAGAGCGAGGCCAGGAGAGGAGCAGGAAAAAGCAGAGAGAAAGGAATAAAGAAAAAAAATAAAAGTTGAGGTTAAGAGAGAAAATCAGAATGCGGGAAAGACAGGCAGAGAGGAGGGGCGGTAAGAAGTAAAGGCAGAAACAGAAAAGGTAAGACAGGGAATACAGGTGGGATCACGGGTAGTTATAGATAATCGAATTAAGGCGTACGAGATAGGATGGAAAGATTTGTGACAACAGAAAAATTAAGAGATAAAGGTGGAAGGTTGTATAAGAAAGGCCCAGAGATGGAAAAGAAGAAAAGAGTAAAGGTGGCGAGGGGGAGAGAGAGCGGGGAGGGGCTGAGGGAGAATATTAGAGGAGAAATGAGGGAGGCAAAGAGATGCAAGAGTGAGAGCGAGGGAAGCGAGATGGACGGGGAGGGGGGAGAAGGACTGGACAACACGATAAGAGAAGGGGGGAAAAGTAGTGGTGCAGAAGAAATAATGGAAAAGATACGGACAGACATAAGGGAATTAAGAGAGATATGGGAGGAAGAAAGGGAAGAATGGACAGAAATATTTAAAGAAATAATGGGAAAAATGGAAAGAATGGAGGCAGAGGGAAAAAGAAGAGAAGAAAGGTGGGAGAAGGAAATAGGAAAAGTTAGGAAAGAACAAGAGAGAGAGAAGAAAGAAAGAAAGAGATGAAAGAAGAAAGAGAAAAAGCAGAACGTAGAGAAAAGAAACTGCAGGAAAAATGGGGAGAGAAGATGGACCAGTTGGAAGAGGAATGCGTGAAACTAAAAGAAAGCATAGAAGGAGGAAACAAGAAGCAAAGAGGAACAGAAGTAGGCAATAAGGAAGAATTGGAGCATATGAGAGAAAAAATGGATAGAGAAAGTAGGATAAACAATATAATAGTGACAGACCTAGAGGGTGAGTTAAGATGGGAAAAGAAGGGGGAGGCAGAGGTCTGGTTAAGGGAGGTACTAGAAATGAAAGGAGAGATAGTGAATCTGAGAAGAATAGGAGGAACAATGGAGAGAGATGAACGGAAAGAAAGAAGAAAAAACATGTGGCAAATTAGATGCACGTCATGGGAACAAAAAGAAGGAATTATGAAGAAGAAAAAGAATTTGGCACAGAAAAAGATATACATAGATCAGGACTGGACGTGGAAGCAGAGAAGGATAAGAGAGGAAGTAAGAAGGAAAGCGAAAGAAATAAGAAGTAAAGGTAAAGAGGTAAAGATGTGGCATAACGGGGTGAAATCAGAGGAAGAAGAATGGTGATGGAGCGAGAGAGAGGGAAAAAAGGTAGGAACACCCCTTTTCTTAAGGGGTGTTCGAAGGGTTTCGAAAGCAATAGGGATAAAGGAGAGAGAGAGAAGAGAAGGGAGAGAGGGGGGAGGAAGGCAGTAAAAATACTATTCTGGAACGTGGCGGGGGTGAGGAACATGGAGGAAGACGACTGGGAATATGTTAGGGAATTCGACATAATAGGGCTAACGGAAACCTGGGTGAAGAGCCAAGGGGCAAGAACTGGTGTGGAGAAACAACTGAAAGGGTACAGTATAGAGTGGAGGGATTCAAGAAGAGGAGGAAGAAGGGGGAGAGAAATAGGGGGAGGAATAATGGCGGTAAGAGAGAGGTGAACACTTGTATTACCTCACTTGTCCTTTCTTTCTTCCATTCAACCTTATTCATAAGGTTGAATGGAAGAAAGAAAGGACAAGTGAGGTAATAGTAGGAGAAATAAAGATCAGAGGGAAGGAATACATGATAGCATCGGTATATATGCAATATGAGAAGAAGGAAAACTATGAATACCTAAGTGAAGAGATAGAAGAGAACAGAGGAAAAACAATAATTATAGGAGGAGACTTCAACGCAAGAACAGGAACCGAAGGAAGGGAATGGGAGACAGAAGAAAAACTAGAAGAAATTAAGGCCAAGGATAAAGTGTTAAACGCAGAGGGAGAAGAAATGATAAAATGGCTAGGAGAAATGGGCTTAGTGATAACGAATGGGAGAAAAGAAGGAGATGAAGAGGGAGAAATAACATATATAGGAGCGAGAGGAATGTCAACGATAGACTATGTAGTAGGTAACGAGGAAGGTGATGAGGCGATAAAAAAGGTTCAAATAAAGGAGAGGGTAAAGTCGGACCACTTACCAATAGAGGTGGAATTGGGAGACAAAATAGCGGAAGAAAGAAAAGAAGAGGAAGAAAGAATGATAGACGACTGGAGTGAAGAAGGTATAAGGGAGTATCAGAGATGGATAGATGCAATAGAGGGAACAGATAAATGGAAAGATATAAAAAATAGAGTGAATAACGCAGTTGTAAAAAAGAAGATAAGGAAAAAAAAAGGATCAAAAAAAAGCTGGTGGAGAAAAGAATGTAAGGCAAAAAGGGTGATGGCAGAATTAAAAAGGTAAGAAATGGGGAAGGAGACAGAAGCAAATATTTAGAATCAAAGAGAGAATATAGGAAATAAGAAAAGCAAAAGAAGAGGAAGGGAAAAGATTGGCAGAAGAAATAAGAACAGATAAGACGAGAAGAAAATTCTGGGATAAAGTGAATAGCAATAGGAAGAACAGAATTGGATTAGATGAAAATATAGGAAAAGAAGAATGGATAAAGCACTTCAAGGAACAACTGGGAGAGAAAGAACAGGAAGAAAGTAAAGGGGAAGAAACCGAAGACAGCGAAGGAGAGGAAGGTGAAGAAATCAAAGAAAGAGAAGTAAAAGAGGTAATAAGAAAAATGAAAAAGAAAAAGGCGACAGGAGAAGATGGTATAGCAAATGAAGCTTGGGTGGAAGGCACGGAAGGCTTGATAAAAGATATGACAAAATGCTTAAATGGAATATGGAACGGAGAAGGATATCCGGAAGAATGGAGAAAGGGAATAATAGTACCAATATATAAGAAAAGGAGGAAAGAAGAAGTAGGAAACTATAGAGGAATAACGCTGATGGACACGGGATATAAAATATATACGGAAATACTGAGAAAAAAGCTGGAAAGAGAACTAGAAGCTAATGAAACGCTAAGTGATATGCAGATGGGATTTAGGAAGAAAAGAGGAACAATGGACGAGATATTTATATTAAAAACAATAATAGGGAAGGAAATAAGGGAAAAAGGAGGAAAACTGTTCGTCTTCTTTGCAGACATGAAGGCCGCTTTTGATTAAATAAAGAGGAAGAAAATATGGGAAACAATGAAAGAGAAAGGGATAAATAGAAAAATTAGGAAAAGAATAGAAGAAATTTACAAGAAAACAGGGAGTAAGGTAAAAGTTGGAGGGGAAATGATTGGGGAGTTTGAGACTTACAAAGGCGTAAGGCAAGGGTGCCCTTTGAGCACCACGCTATTTAATCTTGCCTTCGCCGACCTGGAAGGGAAGATCAAGCAGGTGCAGGAAGGAGGGGTAGTGATAGGAAGGAAGAAAATATGGACATTAGGATACGCAGATGATATAGTGATGATGGCAAAGAGTGAAAGTGGAATGAAAGTAATGCTGAAAAAATTAAAAAGATACCTGAAAGAAAGGGGATTAGAGTTAAATGTA